TTTACATGAAATCATACATAAATACAATTATTTTTACAGTTTGAAAAAAACAACAAAATGCCAAAAAACTGTTTGCTATTTCAGTTGCTTATCTGGTAAACTTTAGTCACAGCTAGGTTTAAAGTAGCAGGCTGATGGTTAGCGTAAGGTAACATGATGCTGCTTTCACAACAACAAATATGTGCTTTTTCTTTAATAGTGGTCAAAACAAACAAACAAACAAACAAACATTCAAAATATGAGCATGTATAGATGTCGGGCTAATGAGACTCGGGACACTGGCTTTATATTCAAGTCCACAAATGTTTCTGTCAATTTCGTGTAAAATTAGCTTCTTACTGTAAATTATGTTGCAGGTGATGCATTCAAGGCACAAGATAATAAAGCAAAACAGTGAAAAGAAAAATAAAACAAGTCAAAACGTATCTGACAAAATTAATACGAGTTAATCGCAAAAACTTTAATAAATTTAGCCGCTAAAAGATATAAACTACCTACAATTTATAAACACTTGTCATATAATGTAACTCCGGCACACTAATGTAGTAAAACTATTTTTAAAGGGTTCATATTTATAAACAAATAAATTTTGGGGCGCTCGCAGTTTATTAGATCCAATCATTGCTAACAATTTAGCATTAGCCAAATGTGATATAACCTGCTCAGATTTAAAAATAATCATTCACGTGAATCAAGTTCCTCCTTTTTTCTCACCAGTAACCGTTTTAAAATTCTATTTAGTTAAGGTTTTGGATTCAAATGCAAGTTTTAGATCCTACATTTATTCATAATTTACTGGCAACTGACAAAAGGCGTTAGCTAGTTAGCATTAGCCAAATGCGGGAAACCCACCCGCTCGAATATATAAAATATTTAACTTTGAGGATGCATTTTATTTGTCAATTAATTCTGTTCTACCTTTAATTTAAAATAAAGTTTTCAATTTAAATGTGAGGAAAAGCACAGGAAATGCATCAATTAATGCATAACTAACTGACAAATGGCTTAGTAGCTCATTGCTAACAGGTTAGCATTAGCCGAATACAACATACCCCTGCTGCTCCAATATTTAAATATTTAACTTGAAAGATAAATTTTAGTTGTAAACCATTAAATCTGTTATTAAATTTAGTTTTTCCAATTCAAATGTGAGAGGACATTTTAACCGTAAAGTATAAAAACTGCACAAGAAGTTAGCATCATAGCACGTCGCTAAGCTCTTTAAAGTGATTATGGTTATCTGGAAATAGATTAATGATAGAATGATACAATTCCTGCTTACTACATTATTGTAATAAATTCAGTTCTTGTAACAGAATTCTGCATTTAACAGATCTAGCAGTTTGAAAGCTAACAGCATAAACATTCTGTTTGAGTCGTCTTTGTTCAGTAATTCATGTACAATTTTAAAAAAAGTCTCAGAATAAACAAGGCTCCTATGGGGACGAGGAGAACGGCTGCTGGCGTCTCTTAACAAACAGCTCTTGAATGCATCAGGAATTCACAGCAGCACATGAGCAGCATGGATTTTGTTTGGGTATTTCCCTTTGGTTTTGCTGCAACCGTCGTTCACAAACATGAGCTGCAGCTCCAACTCTTAAAAAGATGAATTCACATTAACGACAAAAAGTGCAACTGAACATTTTTCAGAGCCAGAGTGGCACGGTCACAGGTCGTAAACAACTCCTCGGCAGTACACAGCATCAGCTGTAAATTAATTATAATAGCAAGCTGCAGACATAGTTAGCACTTTATAGACGACGTTTACAGGCGTCTGCACTAAAAAGCAGCTAAAATATTCTCGTCACAACAAAGCCGACCAGATCCTGAACAAATGGACAACTCAAACACAGCCTTGGATTGTTTAGCTAATATCTCTCAGGATACTGTTCGTATATATAGATATAAATACTTTCCCTCACGAGGAAATAGTCTCTATATTTATATAAACAATCTGTTAATACTTGAGTTTAAGACTTTAGAGTAAAGCCAGCACCAAGAGTTACATTAGTCCAACATCATGACTGGTTTTAAAGTGGAACTTAAAGCGTACACTTGACAATAATGTATCTGCAGAAGAACTATAATACAAGATTTTAGTGAAGAGTTAAAAAAAAAAAAACACTTTCACATGTTCAGGAACCCCATCAGCTCAAATATAAACGGTCCAAGTCCATTTCTTTTCCATTCTGAAACCGCGGTGCAGAGCCGCCTCTCCTGATTGGCCGGTATCAGTCAGAGGAATGTGTCTTAACCAATCAGGAGTAAGAATGTTTATGGTTAGTTTTAAATGCGCACGTGTAACATGCTCATTCAAATGTAACATTTAGTGACGAAAACAAAATGACAGACATTCGTCCTTTGAGCCGTCCAACCGTTTCCTCGCAGCTCCGTCGCCATTTTTGCTTCAAGTGAACATTTTGTTCAGTCAACGTTTTAGGTTTGTGTCATTAGTAGCGTTAGCATCTAGCGTTAGCATTTTTTACCATGAATTTAAAAAAAAAAAAAAAAAAAAAAAAAAAAAGCACAAAATTTCTCCTGAAATTCAACTTGGACCTAAAAGACAAAACAAATAAAAGTTTCAGTTTTTCCACCAGACGGTGATCACAGCTGCAAAGCGTGAGGCGCGTTGTGTTTCTGAAAGTTGTCAAACTTTAAAAACACGAAAATATTTGAATCATTAGGAGGCAGGAAACAATTTAAACAATAAATATATTAAACAGCAAATTACATGTTCTTAAACTATTTTGTTTGTATGAAAATAAAACGCTGTGTTTCATTATAAACCAGTGACATAGACCAGTGGTTCTCAAACTGGGGTCCCTGGACCCCTGGGGGTCTGTGAGCCGGTGCTTGGGGGTCCGCAAAAAAAAATATTTTTTTTAGAAGCATGTAGATGTTTATCAACCTGTTAACACACACCAAAATGCAGGAAATCACATGTACTTTATTGAAAATGTTCTGGTGGAGGACCCCCCTCCCCCCGCTACTTGCGTTCCAGCACTGATCAGTTTACAAATTAAGCCCACTACTTGGTCTGACTACGTGACGATTCTGTTCAGTTTTATGTAAAAAGAGATTTCTGTAATAATCTGAAGAAGTGCAAACACATTTATGTTCATTAAGTAAAGTTTAAAAAGTGTTTTTTTGACGCTGTTAGTTTCCTCAAAACTGTTTTTTTGAACGTTGAAATTAAAAATTGTGTTAAGTTTGTCTTGAATGAAAAAATACTCTACGTTTAAAAGTATAAAAAATTGTATTAACAGTATTAAAGAGCAGGTGTTAAGTATTTATGTTACAAATATTTCCATTGCATTAAAGAGACAAATTGAAGAAAATTATTTA